CATCAACTTGTTACAAATTTGTCTGGTCTTAGTTGAGATGAATTGACATGGTACAATATAAATAACTAGGTTATGACAAATAATTTGACATTACGGCTCTTACCGAAAACATATTTGGCAAATACCACACATTTGGCTCTTTCACATCATGTTTTTCAGACATTATTAGTGCCCTTGCACACAAATCCACTACCTACCATCCAACAATCAAACACAAAATCATCATAAATCGTAACATAAATAGTGCAAAATTCATACGAAAGTCGTAGTAGTATAGTACTTACTAATGAGCAAACCCAGCTATTCTCGCTAATGACCGAACTCAAATAATGTCGTTGCACGTTTTCAGAAAAAAAGTCCACAACGGTCAAACTGCAAAAATCAAAATAACAGAAATGTCTATTGTGATTTGCAACGTACAGATCGACCTGTTCACAGTCACGGTCGACCTTATTGGAAAAGAGGTCGACCTCGTAACCGATCCGGTCGACCACACGTACTAAAAAACGTCTTACTTGTCCCAATTCTTGTCCCCAGCCTTCTCTTTAGTAACAACATAATACAAGTCTTCAACTGGATTTTGAAGATTTTTGGTGAATCGTTCTAGACCCTCCACTTTCATGACCTACAAATCATAGTTAAAATTAAAGTAACATATGAACACAAACACACATTATAGATGAATATGTAACGTAAACTTACCCCATGCTTTTCGAAAGGACTCTTAGATTCTTCTTCATCGCTATCATCACTAAATAATCCTTTTCTTACAAATTGATCCTTCTGTGGAGTGGTGTAGGAGTCACTTTCATATCGAGGTCTCTTGTACTTAGGAGAGGAACCCTTGCTGTCATTCGTTGTTTCACTCTGTCAAACATATAAACAAAACAAATTAGCACTAATGATAGTAATAATAATATCTTCAATCACATATGAATATACTTGGATACCTTTAAAATGTGCTCTTTCAATAAATCGTCTATGCTCTGGTAGCAATTTTCAGAGTCATCATGGTCTTCTTCCTCTTTACCAAAGTCAAATTTCTTTCCTTTACCATTTCTTCCGCCATTCTCCATTCGTTCTGCACTTATATCTTTGATAGCACCTTCTAGCCTCTCAAACCCGTCATGCATCATCCCAGTCATATCTGTCAGTCGAACTGACAATTGCTCCACTCTATCACACATGGACTTCTGAAAGTCATTGACTTGTGTTTGACACACCACCAGCTTCTCTTGTGTGGCTTTCAACAATTTCATGATTTCACCCAAATCTTGATGCAGTTTATCATCATGCGTCATTGTCTAAACAATTTCAAGAAAAATTTAAATCATAATTCAACTTCAAATTTCTACAATTGACCAAAAAACAAATACGTGGTCGACCTGACATAGTATTAGGTCGACCTGGAAGACAAATAGTGACTACCACAACCATTAAGGTCGACCTCTGTTATTCCTAGGTCGATCTATCCAGCAGGAAAATAACAATTAACAACAAAAAGTAAGTTCTAAATTAAACCGAAAAAAGGATAGGTCGACCAGATATCTGGCGCGGTCGACCTTTTCAAGCACAACATAGTCATACAATCAAAGCCAAAGTCGACATTCAGGTTGAATAACAAAAAAAACAGGAACGGTCGACCTTGAAACCCATTAGGTCGACCAATTGGGTTACCTCGCAAGTACAGAAATCCAAGTGTTGTGGCCTAAATTCAAATACGCAGAATTGTCTCGTCAGGTCGACCTGGTTGACGTCACGGTCGACCGAATGGAATTCTGCACCCAACAATATATCAAATTAGCCGGTAGAAATCAAGCATTAGAAAAGAAGACGACGAATGGTACATTAGGTCGACCTCACCTTAGACCTGGTCGACCACTTCCAACGCGTACAACAGCAACCGCGAACGATCTTCTTCACAAAGGTTCTTAATCGGAAAAAAACCTAATTCAGACTTGGAGGCGTTGAAGGGGACTAATATTCGTATTTATAGAGATTTAGGACGTCAATGGGTCGACCCAATTCGTTTCCTTGTCCAATTGTGGAACCTTTCTGGTGTTGGAATCCATATCCAATACGGATACGGTGTGAAGGCGGTCGACCTCTTCATAATGCGGTCGGCCTGTTAGGTGCACAAGGGTCGGCCTATGAGATATTTGGGTCGACCTTTCATTCTGTTAGACCACCAAAGCGGTCGATCGTATTATGTAAGAGGTCGACCGCGTCTTGAAACCCCACATACATGAATTAGTCCATTCGGTCGACCGCATGTTGAATTAGGTCGACCGAAAAGTTCATGTCACGGTGACATGCATGTCACCGTAGCAAAATCCTAATTTTTATTCTACTCAATTCTCAGTTTCTTCCCATACTAAGAATCGGTGCGGCTGCTAAATATATGAGTTTCTTATTGAGGGGATGATCCTCCCTATGTTTGTCTTCTGCTTCATCGAGTGGTGGGTTGGGCTGGAGAATGAGGATGGTTGTTGATTTGGGCTATTCCGGCCCTAGTTAATCTCTGGCCTGTCCGTTTGATTTTCGGACATTTTGAGCCCATCCAAGCCCACAATGTCACTGAAAAAATAAAGTTCGAATGCCACTGCCCCCAACATTATATGGGTTCCCGTTATCCAGAACCCATCTCTGATCTCTACCTTTTTGGTTGGACTATAAACAGAAATTGGGGCTATTAAGACTTACAGAATCCAGGAATGAAAGCCCAATATTAATGATCCCAGTCACTAAATTGGACCTATGTAGGCGATATAGGAATTTAGGGTTCAAGAAGTTGCCTCTTCATACGGAAGTTGTTATGATACACGGCTTGATTCGACATTCTAACCACTCACAACCCTAGCACACGTACACTACAACTAGTCGTCACCTGTTATCTTTTTGACTGATATGTTCGTTGCACTCGTGTTTTTTCGATAGGGGAACTATGTTGTTGATTTTCTTACCCATCTAGAGTACGTGACATCTTTTGGCTTACATTCTATTCATACTCCAAACTCTATCCCATCTTATTGCCCTAGATATGATGCATTTGAGACCTCCGTAGGTATGAGGCGATAACGTTCTTTAATCCTACATTTCTTTTTCTTTAAAATAAGTATGAAGTAAATATGAAAATATTAACGAGGAATAACCTAAATACAACTCCAAATTACTCATTCATCCTATCTAGTCATCGAATCAATACTCATTCCTCATATCCATTTCAACAATCCATCATTTAAACATACCATCACTTTGAGTACGTTCGAAGGCGAATACTTGCAATTAACAAAGCCTATAACTTCTTTATTATCACTTTCGCGTATTCATAATAACAAAATACATGGAATCTAAAATACATGTAAGCCTTTCCATTTCAAATTTATAAGGAAGTAGGTCTCTTGGGTCGTATATGTGACATTTCTCAAAATTTTGACACTTTCTTTGTTAAATTTGAGATAAATGGTATTCAATTTATAGGTTTACTTAACTAAACACATACAATCTAAGGTAATTGATTCAGGAAAAAATGGATTAAAGAGGGTAGTAATGAACCTGGTCATTTTTTGGTAGTAATGAACCTGGTCAGTATAAGGGCTAAATAACAATTATCAACTCAAATTGAATATGACTTTCATAATAAGCTGATTTATTATTTATAACAACTCCCCAAAAGGGTTCTCGTATTTCTTGGACCTCTTCTTCTGTCTTCTTACTCTTATTTTTTACTTCACCAACCAAAATCCCTTGGCTTCAAAGTTCCAACTTGCAAATTCAAAGGTGGATCGCCAAAGACACTGCTTCCCGTCTTCCTCCTTCATTGAAAAAGTGTAAGTAACCATGACATTGCTTACTACTTGAACTTGTGTTAGTTGTTACCTACCACCATCAGCAGTTTTGACTTCTTCAAGCCTTGACTAGCTTCATTTTTTTTATATCATTTCATACGCAATATTTAACTCTGTTTGTTAGACTTGAGCTACGACTTATAGGAAATTTGAAAGAAAAAAAAAATCATCCACGTCATGTTTTTTTTCCCATTTTAATTAGAAGAATTACGGTGCTTTTTTATTGTTTGCCATAGTGGAGGAGTCTGTTCATGGTGCACTAAATACTTAAATAACCTAGCTACAAATTTGACTATGACTTTGAGCTACAATTTTATAATCGTGGTCTCGACATTGGTCAAAGGTGTATCACAAGGGAAAAAGGTGTATCACAAGCAACAAAACAGCTGGAGTTAACACTTCAACTTTGTTTATGGTGTGATAAGTTGATTTATGTTAATTTTTCAACTTAAAATAAATTGTAGTGTAGTAGTAAAACACTCTTATATCACCTAAAAGTGATGAGTTCAACTCATGATTGATACGTGTATGTATATATATATATATATATATATATATATATATGGTATTTGATTTTACCCAAAAATTATCGGTGTCCTGAACACATCTCAGACCCTCTGACTCTGCCTATGATGGTAATACCACTAGATCAAACCCTTGTTCGCAGAATAGACTAATATTATATACTGAGCGAGCAAAATTTATAAATTTGTAAAATGATTTGTTATTGACGTTTTACAAGTGTTCCATTGTAATTAAAATTTCACATTTTATTCTTAAATGCAACAACTTATAACGATAGTATTGAAGTTGAGAAAACGTCATAACCCCTCTAACTTACCAACAACTCTAAATCTAACACCGAATCCAACAACATTTTTCAAATACGTTGTGCCACCCACAAAAAATGCACCTAAAATAGTTGCCAAATAGTCACTTCCAGGCGACAAAGACGGTGTGGGAGCGCATGAGGCAACTCGGCAAAGAACCCCATAAAAACAATGGAATAAGAAAACCTGTAAAAGAGCAAAAGAAAGGGCCACGAACAGGTCACAAACCCTATGGAGCCAGCCCATGAACCAAGTCAAAACTTCCCACAAAATTTGAATAACCATAAAAAAACATATAAAAAAACTAAAACAAACCGAATCGTTATTTCGTCTGCATTGAGCAACCGAACGAAATAAAAACCCCTTCCCTCCCTCCCTCTCAATACGCGTTTCTTTCATTCCCACCGACCCCCTTTCTCCTTCACCGACGCCCCCATTTTCCTCCTTCCTCGCAGTTCCCTTCTGCGGCAATCTCGGGCAGGGGGAAATGGGACTCGAGAAGGAGGTGCCGCCGCAGCCCACATTGCTGGAAGATCTGCTGGTAAAGGCCGGAGGCTGCGCGGTGATAGACGGCGGATTCGCCACCCAGCTCGAGACCCACGGCGCTTCCATCAACGACCCTCTATGGAGCGCTCTCTGCTTGATCAAAGACCCCGATCTCATCAAAAAGGTCCGTCATTTCCCCTGGGTTTCTCATTCTCTCTTCTGGGTTTCTCCCAAATTCCCCTCGCCGAAACTGGGTTCTTCTCTCCGCAGGTTCATTTGGAGTATTTGGAGGCCGGCGCCGACATTATAGTGACTTCTTCTTACCAGGTTTTACCCCGGTGCTTATTGTTTTGTTTACCCAAAATAAGATTACAATGTAGATGTTTTTTCAGAATCTTAAGAACTGGTTCGGATCTCTTGTTCTCGATAGGCGACCCTTCCTGGGTTTCTATCAAGGGGGCTTTCTGTCGAGGAAGCAGAGTCATTGCTGAAGAAGAGTGTGAGATTGGCCGTGGAAGCTCGTGACGAGTTTTGGGACACTGTGAAGGGCTCTCCTGGAGATGAATACAACAGGGGTCTGGTTGCAGCTTCCATTGGGAGCTATGGAGCTTATCTCGCTGATGGCTCGGAGTACAGGTTGGGATTTGTCTTCTTCTTCTTCTTCTTCTTCTTCTTATTGTTATAGCTCAATTTGGGGGGTTTTCTCTTATTGTTCGTCTGGGGTTGTGCAGTGGTTGGTATGGAGAAGATGTGACCCTGGAGAAGCTGAAAGATTTTCACAGGCGTAGGCTGCAAGTTCTTGTGGAGGCAGGTCCCGATCTGCTGGCTTTTGAGACCATCCCCAATAAGCTTGAAGCTCAGGTTAGTTCATGGCCTGATAATCATTGAGAAACTGGCCACATTCTGTTCCAAGGGATTATGGCCCTGAGATGAAGCTTGCTTGTTTAAGACAGAACCAGAAATGATTTCGGACGCAATAACATAAGCGATAAATCCTGGTTGCAGGCTTGTGTGGAGTTGCTTGAAGAGGAAGAAATCAGCATTCCATCCTGGATTTGCTTCAGCTCGGTGGACGGCCAGAATGCCCCTTCAGGAGAGAGTTTCAAGGATTGCCTTGATGTGATAAACAAGAGTAGCAGAGTGCCGGCAGTTGGCATCAATTGTGCACCTCCCCAGTTCGTTGAAAACCTCATCTCCAAGTTCCAGGAGGTAAAAAGACGATATGAATTTGATCTACTCCTGCTGTTTCTCCTGAGTAATTGCTTACATGTTTGGTCTTGAACTGCAGTGGACGGAGAAGTTGATAGTAGTTTACCCAAATAGTGGTGAAGTATGGGATGGCAGAGCTAAAAGATGGCTGGTAAGTACTCGATATCATCCGACTGTCTCGAGTTTACGTTTCTGCACGAGACACATGATAGACTCATATGCTTTTGCATTTACAGCCATCAGCATGCTTCGGAGATGACAAGTTCGAACTGTGTGCTAAAAGATGGCATAAGTTAGGAGCCAGCCTCATCGGTGGCTGTTGCCGGACAACTCCTGCTACTGTGACCGCCATTTCAAAGGCCCTGAAAGAAAGATCCTCTTGACCACCAGCAACAACATCGACGTTCTCACCATATATGACATAGAACGATTACTTCACAGATCAGATACTTCATTCAAATAGTCAAGCCATATACATCACAGAAAGCATTTGTTGCCCAATTCATTTTAATTGCCATTGTTATTTACAATGTAAGCTATTGCTTGCTAAATTATAAGAATTTACAGCCCCCTTCATTACCTCAAGTGAATTCCAGTTGTAACCAAAACAAAGTTGATTTATAACTACAGGCTTTTATTCTAATCTCTGTAGCAGGAATATGCAACATGAATACAAGGATCTCAATCTTCGAAACATACCATTATAAGATGCTCAATGTTAACTCTCTTTTACCCACTACCATAACATGATTTCTCCTTTCAATAGAGAATACCTGGCTCATACATTCGAGACTATCAATCCCCATGACTACTCGGGTGAATGAAGGAAGACTTAGCCATGTGTATCATTTGCACTCGCTTTGCAACGACTGCATAGTGAACTGGCGTCGTTTGGCTATTCTTCTAGGCCAAACTAACAACAATTTGGCTTTTGAAGCTTGCACTGTTAAGGAATCACTATAGTGGCAAGTCAACAAACCATTAGCATAAACTGATAAAAGGGGTCAACGTCGGAGATAGTCATGGTTGTAAAATTCCCCAGGATCATCTTCATAGCTATCATCATATCTGCTAGAATTTCTTGTTTCGGAGCTTCGATCCATAATTTCAAAGCCTCCATCTATTACACGAATTGGAAAGATCTGTTAGAGAACGGAAAATGCACATAATTGATAATAAGATCCTAACGCAGGCATCTGAGAAACAAAACAGCTTGGTACACTACCATATCTAGGTTCCTCTATTGGTGCATCCTGCTGCTGCTCAAGCCTTAGCTTCTCAATTTCACGACGCATACATATGAGATTATTCTCAGTTAGCTGCATTTCTTGAACTTCTTCATGGTTCGCTCTCTTCTGGCACTCGAGTGTATTTCTAATGAACAGTGTACGGAAAACAAATGACTGAATATATAGCAGAATTTACATCTCTGACTACACGAATTTCTGAAAAATTGTAAGGCAAAACTCCAAACCTGGCATCGAGAAGCTGTTTGTGCATCATATCTACATCAGCTTTCAGTGAAGGCACTGACTTGTTCGCCATTTTTACTTCTTTAATGTCTTCTTGCAAACTGTACTCAATAGCAGTATAGTCCTCTACTGAATCCCTCAAGTTTTCAGCTTCTACTCTTAACTGCCTAACCTCCGACTTTACGGGCTCCCTTGATCGGACCTCTGCTTCTAGCTTCAATCCTTTGTGAATTAACTCCCTGATATGGGTCTCCTTTTCAGCCTGGAGTTGAGGCAGCCTTTCCTCCAACCTGTGAATCTTATCGTTCGTTCGTGCCAATTCACTCTGAAGAGCTATATTATCATCGATAATGGCTTGATTCTCAGAGATTATCCTCCTCATTTCTCTATCTAGATCATCGAGCTCTTCCTCCAAAGCTACAGGGTCAAGCTGCTGCACGGGCCTTGATCTGTTGTTCCTGTCATGCTGATGGCCATCTCGATAGCCTACCAAATCATCAGGATGCCGATGTCGATGCTTTCTCTTTGACATGGGGCCAGTAATCCAACCAAATTACCTTCACTGCTTTGTTTACAACTGACAGCAATAAAGACAAGTGAAAATGACAAAGTAATTGATACATGATCTTTCAATGAGGAAACAGAAAAAGCTGCACTCAGTCCATTCTAACTAAAATAGAAAAATGCCACAGGTGCTGATTAAAGGTTCTGAAGGAACTTTAGCCAAGCAGGAATTGCAGGCTAAAACAATACAAGGCATGATACTTTGACATACATTAAGTGCGATTTTTCAACTTGACTAATCTGGCAGGACAAAACACAAATATAGAGGAGGGAGGTGCTACCAGCTCTTTTCCTCTTACAGCCTTGGTCAGACTCTCTCTCACTCGGTTCCATTGGTCACCAAAACTTGACTGAAGCCAACATACAAAATCAGAAACCAAATTAAGTCCTATTGAGGCAGTAAAAGAGAATCCTAATAACAAAAAGTCAGTTGCTGAAGTTTCAAGTTTAAGACAAACCACAAATCCTTATAGCTTATCTGATCAAGCCAATACACCTGAACTAAGGGTCACTTAAGTGCCATCCGATGCAATTTGCCACAAGTAACAGAAACAAACAGTAATTCTAACTGTGCAAGTTTGTCCCGGAACATAATGGCAGCTATGTACTTCCCTTTCCGGATGCCAATAAGTGTAATTAGCAATTGGATGCTATCTAACTTACATTATTGAAACAAGATAATCGAGCTATTCTATGTCTAGATCTCGATGCCTAGGCGAACCAGTGGTGCACGATGATAAGCAATCCGAACCAACAATGCATTGTGGGACACCACCATGCAGGACTGCAATCTAATGCAGTCTCCATAAACTACAATGCCTTCGCCATGCTCGTGCAAGGATCAACCCCGAAGCAATTACTGATGCTAAAAGAGGAAATTTGTACCCTATTTCCCTTAATTTCTGCTTCATCTTTCTATGCCGCTCCGCCGTGTAAAGTAAAATGCAAAAGCAGCCGAATTTTCTCAGGCAAGAGAATGAAAATAAGCACCCAGCAAAAAAACAGTAGTCGTCTTCGTCAACCATAATTCGTCGGAAATGGAATCAGAGAACGGAGAACGATTATGGACAACAACAAAGGGACAAGCTTCAGCAAGCAGCCATAGGGATTCCGGTACAGTTAAGCAACCAGCGGCTCAGACGAGGAGAAAGAGAAAGAAGAACTTGGCGGGAATTTGATTTGATTTTTTAGGGTTAACGAGAAAAGGAGAGAAATGAAAGCGATCGACTTACAGAGATGGGTGAAGGAGCAATTGAAAGTCCAGAGAAATCAGGACCCAAAGTCTCCGCAACTTCTACACCGACGATCTCCGTTTTCCCCCCACAAGGCCACAATCTCCGCCGGAAGAAATCTCGCTGGTTTTGGTTTCTGGTTGGTCCCCGCCACCCCGGCCAGCTGGGTTTGGCGGTTCAGGTGAAGAAGAATCTCGGAAGCAGGGGTGGTAATCGGTTAACCGGTTACCGACCGACCCGGTTACCGGTATACCGTTCACGACAGGAGAGAAGCCGGATACCGATACCGGTTGTAACCGGTTAACCGGTTACCGAACACTCGGTTAACGGTTACAAACCGGTTATACCGGCTACCTGCGAGACACACCTCCTCCTCTCTTTCTCATTCACCCATTCTCGACAATCGGACTCTCTCTCTCTCTTGAACCCTCCCCAGACCACCTCTCTCTCTCGTTCACCTCTCCCCAACCTTCCCAGACCTCCTCTCTCGATTTCCTCTCATCTCCCCATCCCTACACTAATCGCCGCCAACCGTTGCCGTCGCCGCCGCATCGAAGAAGCTTGCTCTCTGCCCTCACCACCATTCCAGCCTCCAGTCGTTGTCGCCGCGCGATTAGGGATTTTTTGGGGGTGTCAAGAAATCCGGGTGCCTCCTCTCTTGATCCAGATCTCCGGCAACCATCCCGCCGCCATCTCGTCGTAGCCCTCCCACTCGCCGCCATCTAGACTGACTGAGAAGCGTTGCGGGTGGGAGACTGCATCTCGCCGAATCTGACCTCGAGAGGAAGAGAGAGCCGCCGCACAAGGGAGTTGCATGGAGCCGGATCTGGAATCTAGAGGGAGAGAGAGTCGCCCGATTGGATGCTGTGTTCGAAAAGGAGAGCGATGCGTCCGACTCGGTTCTGGGTTCTTCCAACGACGGCGGCAGAGGAGTGGAAAGATGTGGTGGTTGGGCGAGCAAACCCATCGCTCTTTGCCCTCTCTCCGGTGACGACGCATCCCTTTGACGATGACGAATCGGCGGTCATGGTCTGAATCAAGAAATCGAGAAAGAGAGGAGGGGGTTTCACAGAATCTCTCACGGTGAAGGTTCTGTTTGTGGAACAGTGGAAGGAAGAGAGAATTTGAGGGAGATTAAGAGGGAGGAGGGAGAGAGCAGATGGAGTGAAGGAACTGATTGAAAAAGGGGAGAGGGGTTTTGCCTTCTATCGGTATACTCGGTTATACCGAGTAACCGGCGGTTACTTACCGATTATAGGTCGGTATACCGACACCTGGATTTCTCCTGCCGTATACCGATATCGCCGGTTAACGGTTAACCGGTAACCGCCGGTTATCGGTACGGTTACCGGTTACCAGCCCTACTCCGAAGTAGGGGTAGCCGTTTGGTTACCGGTTAACCGACCGGTTAAACCGATAACCGGCCGGATATCCACTAACCGGTAATCGAAATAATCGAACTTCGGTCGGTTATCGAAGGCTGAACAAAATTGTTTTTGGTCTTAAAAGTAGTTCGGTTAACCGATAACCGAGAAACCGAAGCCTATTTCGGTCGGTTTTTGGTAGAGAAGGTAGTTATTTCGGTTAACCGATAACCGGCCGATAACCGGTTATAACCGAAATAACCGAACTGCCACCCCTACTCGGAAGCAATGTCGTTGGTTGTCTGTAGTTAGTATCGTGGGCCGAATCAAATGGGCTTCCAAACCAATATCTTGAAAATTTGGTGCTGAATGAGTTACCAGCCCAGTCCATTTGAGAAAACTCTAAACCTAGCAGAGTAGCAGCTAGGGTTTCAAGGAAGAAGAGGATAACAAGAGACTCAGGCCATTGTGGGAATTGGCATCTTGCCCTTTCCTCTGTGGATTTTCCAATATATAGCAAAGAAGGTAAAGGTGTTCCATCTGAGGCAGACACTACAGTCTTCATGCTTAGGGGAGTTTTAGCAGGTTTGCTTTCTAGAAAATCAGTATTTCCCAACAACTCCAAACAAAACTTTCTCTGATTCAGTGAAATCCCTTCAGATGATCTTGCCACTTCCAATCCCAGGAAGTATTTCATGTTACCAAGATCCTTGATCTTAAAACCCTCTTTTAACTGAGGGGTCGTTTGTTTCAAGGATTTGGTACATGGATTTGGTACCAAAAAACCAACTATCAAGGATTTAGGTACAATCCGTTGTTTGCTTGCATCTTTTTTGGAGACCAAATCCGTGGGGCCCACGGATTTTAAGGGTCCAAATCCGTGGACCCCACGGACTTATAAATCCCACATGTTGATGTGGGATTTGGAATATGGCATAAATCCTTGATGGCATTTTACCCATATACCCTCATGCACTTTTAATATTCCAAGGTTGCCCTCAAATTTAACTATTATACATTATAATTAACAATAAATGAATAATATAAACGTTCAATTAATGTGCAAATATGAGTTAGATTTTTTATATAATTTCTTGTGTTCTAGTTTTCTTTGACCTTTTCATGGAACTTGTAATTCTTTGTTCTCCCGAATATATGTTGTTATATGTTAATTTTGAAAAGGAGGACAAAGAATTGGTAATTGATTATGTTACGTTAAAAGTTAAAACGAAATTTTCTCGTTTATTATTATTGTCCATGTGGCAACATTATGCTTATTAGTATGTATTGTCCTTGTTTTGTGTACATATCATAAACATGTCAAACATATAGAAAAGGGCAGTAATGTAATTTTTGACTTCAAGTAGTAAATCCCACACTTTTAAATCCATGATAAAAACATCCCAACAAACAAAGGATTGTTACAAATCCATGATGCCTCAAATCCTTGATAAATCCTTGGGTTTTTAAATTACAAAACCCTCGTTTATAAATCCATGAAGCAAACGACCCCTGAGACTTAACCTTCTGTATGTCTTCCAATTTAGGTCCAGCCAACAACAAATCATCTACATAAACCACCACAACAACTGTAGAAGATCTAAACACAGAATAATCATCATATGACTGCTGAAAACCCAAACTCTTCAGAAAATCAGACAGTTTAATGAACCACTGTCGACTAGCCTGTTTCAATCCATAAATAGACTTTTTAAGCTTTAGAACCTTTCCTTGCATGTGATTTAGATGCCTAAAACCCTCAGGAACTTCCATAAACACCTCCTACTCTAAGTCACCATGCAAGAATGCATTAGTGACATCCATTTGATGGATATGCCAGGATTTGGCTGCTGTGACAGCCAGTAACAGCTTGACAGAATTCATCTTTGCAACTGGGGAAAAAGTGTCTAAGAAATCCACACCATAGGTTTGAGTAAAGCCCTTGGCTACTAACCTTGCCCTGCGTTTGTCAATATCACCATCAGGGAGAAACTTAGTCTTGAAAATCCATTTTGTGCCTACAACCTTCTTTCCTGGTGGCAAATCGACCACATCCCAGGTCTGGTTTGCCTCCATAGCACCTAGCTCAGTTTGTACAGCATCATCCCACCATTTTTATTTAATGGCTTGAGAGTAGTAAATGGGATCAGGGTTAAGAGAGATAGACAGTGTATAATGTCTGTGGGTTGGTGAAAGAGAAGAATAGTTTAGGTGGTGTGAAAGAGGATATAAAACTTGAGCATCATGTTGGCCAAAAGTGCCATTTGTGAGAAAGGCAGTGTGGAAGTCCTGGAGATAGGTAGGTTGTTGTGGTATTCTCCTTGATCTCCTGTGTGCAAGAGGTAAGGATGGTGGTGAAGGAGAAGAAGAAGGGGAACTGGAACTGATTGGTGTAGGTGAAGAAGGGGAATGAGGTGTAAGAGGAGAACCAGGGAGATCTGAGTCAGGACTCTCTGAATCAGAAGGGTAATAGTCTGAGTCAACTGATTCATGAGCAAAATTATCAGTAAACAAGTGAGGTTCAGAGAAAAAGGGGTGAAATGTGGGAGTGGTAGGTGATGCAGAAGGGGGATTACTACTCTCAGTTTGCTGAAATGGGAAAGAAGTCTCAGAAAACTCTACATCTCTGCTGACAAAAATATCATGTGTCTCTACATCATATAGTTTAAATCCCTTAATGCCAAATGCATAGCCAATAAAAACACACTTTCTTGCTCTGGAAGCAAGCTTCCTTTTGTGTTCATCCAAAACCGTGGCATATGCCAAACATCCAAATACCCTTAATGAACTGTAATCTGGTGGAATTCCATATAAACATTCAAAGGGAGACTTGTTATCAAGGGTTGGAGTTGGAATTCTGTTGATCAAGTAAGCTGAATGAAGAACCAGATGGCTCCAGAAACTAGTGGGAACTCCAGAATGAAACTTCAAGGCTCTAGCCACATTCAACAAGTGTTGATGTTTGCGTTCTACTCTTCCATTCTGCTGAGCTGTTCTCACACAACTCATTTCATGTACAATGTCATTCGACTGATAAAAGGAGGGCATGTTGAGTTCCTGTCCTTGATCTTACCTAATGACCTTAATGCTTTTGTTGAACTGGTTTTTAACCATAGCATGAAAGGATAACAACAACTCTCGAGCTTCAGATTTGTTGCTCATTAGGAATAGCCAAGTACATCTACTAAAGTCATCAACCACAGTAAAAAAGTATCTATAACCATCATGAGAAACCACATCAACTGGCCCCCATATGTGGGATGTCAGCGGCAACCATTTCTGGGTGATAGGGCCCACTGTATTAGGGTTGATAGGGGCGGGCTTTGGGCCTTTGTAAAGACCACCTTTTGTTTTACTCTTTTTCAGTAGGCTTTCCTTCCTTTCAGTGTTTATTCAAACTCTGTACGCCGTGTTTCTTATGAATGAAACAACCAACATTCTTTAAAAAAAAAACTGGCCCCCATATGTCTACATGAACCATATCAAATGTTTCCTTAGCTATAGAATTACTTCTGCTGAAAGGTAACCTTTTCTGTTTTGACATATGACAAACATCACAATCACTGGAAACAGGCAAAACTACTTCATTACATTGTTTGTTAATCTCTCTCGATCTTGGTAGGGACAGATGTCCTAATCCGGCATGCCAAAGGTCTGATTTGTGGTTGGTGTTCACTCCAAAAACATGATGGTTTGAAATCTCTCCAGGTGCTGATGTCTCCCCAAGCAAATACAGGCCTCTATCTACGAGGATTAAACCAATCTTCTGATGAGATATGAGGTCCTGAATGCAACAAAAATTAGATTCAAACAACAGTGAGACAAGGTTGTTTTTGGTCAACTGGCTAATGGAAATAAGGTTGTAACTAAAGGAAGGAACTAGTAGGACATTAGTGAGGAACAAACCACATTGCAATTTTACTATGCCAATGTGGGTCACTACTGCTTCCTGCCTTGTTGGAAGAGTCACAGACAGGTTTTGAACTTCCTTACATCTAAGAAAGGACTCAATAGAACATATGATATGGTCACTAGCCCCAGTATCTAGTACTCAAACAACCTCTCGTTTTGTTTGTTTAAAAACAGATAAAACTGTTATACCTGTCATTGAAGTGTTCCTTGTAGTGATAGACTTAGCCATAGATGAAGGGGATGGATGTTGTGAAGCCTGCAGCAAAGCCTTGAGGCGATTCAGCTATTCATTAGTGAATCCTGAGAACTTGTTGGGACTCTCAGGGTTGCTGCTTGAATTCTCTGATGAAAAAGAAGAGCTTCTCATAGTTGTTTTCTCAGGTGTCGCAGTATCAACTGATCCAGCAAAGCTTCGACCTCCTCCTCCTCCTTCTCGGTTTTTCTTCTTAAGTTTCCAGCAGTCTTGGATAACATGATTATCCTTCTTACAGTATCTCCAAAACAAGACTCCACCTTCTTGCTGACCTTCCCTAGGACTCTTGTCCTTAGATTGTCCATATTGGGGTCTGGTAGCAACAAGAGCAGTTGCAAGAGCTATAGTTTCTTCAGTCTTACCAGTGTTACTATTAGCTCCATTCAACTGTCTTTCAAGCTGTGATACTGATCTGTAAACACTATCAAGATCTGGCAAGGGCTCAATCATTAACATCTGAGTCTTAACCTGTTGGTATTTCTCATTTAGTCCCAACAGAAATTTCATCACTCTGCCCCTGTCACGATACATGATTGTTGTTTCATAGGTTTTTGAAGCACAATCACAGTATGGAATAGGTAGATAGCTACTCTGTTCATCCCATAACAGTTTCAGATCAGTGTAATATTGTCTGATAGTCTTGTTTCCTTGCTTCATCAGATCAATCTTATCAGTTAAATTCGCAATCCTCACATTATCTCCTTGGCTAAACTTTGACTTAAGATAAGTCCATGCTTTAGATGCTACTGTGATATTACGCATGCTAGGCACGATATCTTCAGATACTGAATTGCGAATCCAACATACCACTGTTCCATTAACATTATCCCAAGTTCCATACAAAGGATCAGTAAGAGCTGGTACCTGAATCGTTCCCAGGACAAAACCCAGTTTGTTTTTGGTGCGCAGCGCAACTTCCATGGATTCACTCCACAGAAGGTAGTTGTCATCGTTAAGCTTGAATCCGATGACTGGTAAGAAAGAGTTATCACTCTGAGCCAAGTAAAATGGATTGTTGTAAGGATCTTCATAGCGAGTTTTGGGGTTTCAACATTGCCGCTATCAGATCCAGAATCATCGTCCTTCGTCGACATGGCTGGGGAGACTGATTAAGTTTGTGAGAATGTAGTGAGAATCAAAGTTGAGAAATGAGTGAGGAAAGGGTATACAGAAGCCAACCGGGCTCTGATACCAGGAGAAAACTCTAAACCTAGCAAAGTAGCAGCTAGGGTTTCAAGGAAGAAGAGGATAAGAAGAGACTCAGGTCATTGTAGAATCTTTGAACAACATAACTCTGGGCCCGATATTTAACAAGCTAATTTGTTTGATTCAAATCATTTTGGGAGAGGGTGTCTTTCATGTTCGTGGTAGTTATAGTTTATCGTTGGTCTCTATGTAGAATTAGTATGGAACTCGAAATAAGATGATGTATAATGTGACAAATGTCAGGAATCCAGAGTCCGTTTATCTCGAATTCTGAACTTAACCGTTACAAAGTTATATGATAGTATCCAATTAACTAGAGTGGCAGGCTTATTGTCAGTGGCATGCCCACGAAAGTTGGTAGCAACAACCCATTACGGCCGGCAAGTGGCAAGGAATATCACCGGGCGGTGACGCTGATGGTCGGGCAATCGGCAGATCGGTCCAACGAGCAGGGAAGGTGCTGGGCTGGAAAATGACGCTGCCAGTGGCAGCAGGGAAGTCTTTGTCAAAGCTGCAACGAAAACGTCAAGGTTTACCCATGAAGTTGCCACTGCCCAGAATTAAATTTTGGTGTTTTTTTGGGGTTTTTGTTTTGTTGTGGGTGTCAGATCTGAGAGTGGTTTTCCATTCCTTATCCGTAAATATATCCTTTAACTACCCAAAATTATTGACAGTGAAAAATTCTATTCTCAACACGTAACGGAATTCGACATGTACGTACCTGCATAGTTTTCAACTGTCAGTTTTTGATAATATAACACACAGTTTTTCAGCTGTCGTATCATTTCTTCCCTTGTACTGTCAAAGCTTCTTAGCCTGTTCTTGTGATATGTATCTTCATAGAGACAAATTTATCCTATGATGCGATATTTTCTGGCCCAAGAAAATATGATAGCTCTACCAAGTCCTTGAAATTAACTTAGAATCGATGTAAAGACCCTTTCAACTCTTGATTTACGTGGCATTATTATCATGTTATCTGTATTATGGCATTTCATAATTATCTATATGTCAAAATAAATAAGGATGAAAATTGCCCGACACAATAATTTATTGAATGTTTCAAATTAATCTCAAAGAGCTTTTAGCAGGTTCCCCATAAAAAAAATCTCGAAGAGCTTTCAAAAACGTCTTTTGAACATTATATGAAGTAGTTTAGGGAAGATGTGAATGAACAAACTATATAGTCTCAGTAACTCAAATTATTTGATTGGAAAATGTTTGATTGATTCTACTCATTTAGTGAAGTAGTCAATACAATTCTTTGTTATACGCCAGCTAAACTTTCCGACTCAAAAGACGCTCTTTTTGGACCATGTCCCCCTGGCGTGACGATACGAGGACGTAAAGGGAAAAAGAGAGATTAGGTTTATCTCGCTTTTGGCATAGCAGGCCCCCAGTCGGAGACCATCACGGCAGACTATTTGCTCAGTGGTAGAGTGCGTGAGTTTTATATGTCATTCTTTTTCTTTTACAAAAATCTTTATACACAATTTAATATATTTCTCGTATTTATTAACGGGTTTACGTACATTTATACTATAATTATCTCCTCCGTAAATCTCATTCAATGATTACACAATCTACAAATGATATCCAATTTTAGCGTACAACATTGGTTTGAAATGAACCTGACAAGCTAAAGCAACCTTATTAGATGATTATCGATGAATAAAACAGTGTATGATGATTGATATAACGACTACAATAATTATCGTAATTGGAATACACAAATTTCTAACGATGAGTACAAAACAAATCTCTGACTTAGTTAAAATTTCGCTGACAAATACAACCCACAAAAAAGGGAGAAAATTTGCGAGTGGTGGGAGCCCTCGTTGTCGTTCAAATCGATCCAAGCAGGATTGGGCTATGATAGCGAGCTGGTGGGCCCTTCCATTTCATGGGCCCTCATACCCAGAAATCCATTGACAGAACCACCCTCCAATCACAACACAGGCCCAAGGATCACCTTCCCTCCCTCGACCAATAGCAATCCAGATAACGCCCTCTCCCCTGACCCCACCCCTCTCTACGGTCCCCTAGCTAGTGGTGGGCATCGGTTTGGTTCGAATCAAATCAGATCAATAGTGAAAGATAACTTAGAATTAAGGAACGGATCAATAGTGCATCCGGTTCGTTTGGTCCAGTCCAAATGTAAATTCGATTCATTTTTCTTCAATATTTATAAAATTCATGGGAACAAGGACCGAATCATATTATATTAGATTCGATATGGTTCGATCCAAATATTGGATCGGTCCGGTGTGATCCAGTTTGTACCAACCCATTTCCCACCCCTACCCCGCTTAACACCACCAAGAGATCCCTCTTCTCCTAAGTTCCTCTGCCAACAAAAAGAAATAAAGAACATTGTTCATGTAAAGAGTTTACTGGTAATTAATCTTTTTAATACGTTGTTAAGAGTTTTTAATTAAAATACATTCATATTCTAATCATAAAAATAAATATGAATAATTAATGTAAATACAATATATAGGGGTGGTTTGGATGGGTAATTGTCAATGTGGTATTTGTAGAGTCAAATAACTCATTTATTGTTCATGTGGTATTTCAGTGTTATTTCAGTGGTAATTGAAATAAAGTATCCCGTTTGGTTGAACCATGCAAATGTGGTATTTGGTAAAAACAGAGTGGTAAAACGAGTTATTTCCAAATAGCACATGGGTATGAGTTATTTGTAAATAATTCACTATCCAAATAACTCATTTCAGTAAAACGCTGCCAAACGAGTTATTTGTGTACAAATAACTCATACAAATACTCCATTCAAACAACCCCTACACGATCAGTCGATACAAAACCTTTCTTAAATTATTAAGGATAATGTCTATTTATTATCCAAACCTTTTTTATGATTCTTTTTTATTAGCCAAACCTATTGAAATACTAAGAATTAGCCAAATGTTAACTTTTAGTTAGAAATTTTGTTAATAATATTGACTTGGCAACATGATGCTGACTTGGAAGAGACACATGAAGATCAACATTCCAAAATTTCAGTATTTTAACTAAAAAAAGAGTTACAATATTTATTAACGATAACGAAAAAATAACTAATATTTTAATATATTTGAATAACTAATAGTATTTAAATAGATTTAAATAATATAAAAAAATTAATAAAAATTTAGATAAAAAATACAATTTCAAACCAAGCATACGGTCCCCACACAGTACAATGGCCCTTCGATTCGTGCAGAGGGAAAAGTGCGGTTTCTGGTGGGTCACCACCCCTCTATATACTATACCACGCACTTTCGAGTTTCCTCCCTGCAAATTATTGCTCCCAACTGGCCACTGAACTTTGCACCCTTGGAGCTAGCTAGCTGAATCCTGAAAAGATCTCACCAGGAAAAACAAAAATCAAAACACCTTTCCTTTTTCGTTCTTTCTTTCCACTTTTCCATATGAATTCGAGCAAGTCCCACAGCCACCACCAAGCGGCCGCCGCCGCTACCGCATACGGCGGGAAAACAGCCAGGGCATGCGACAGCTGCATTAGGAGGCGAGCCAGGTGGTACTGCGCCGCCGACGACGCCTTCCTCTGCCAGTCCTGCGACTCCTCCGTCCACTCCGCCAACCCGCTCGCCCGCCGCCACGAGCGGGTCCGCCTCAAGACCGCCTCTCTCAAGTCACTCTCTCCCCCCGACGATGGAGGCGGAGGCGGCGGTGCAGCCGGCTCACCCATTCAGCAGCCGGCCAGCTGGCACCGCGGCTTCACCCGCAAGCCACGAACCCCACGCGCCAACGGCGCCACCAAAACGACGTCGTTTTCGTCACCGCCCTCCGTCTCCAAGTCCATCAATAGTAACACGATGCGGGCCCCACTCGTCCCCGAAGTCGGCTCCGACGACCACGACGAGGAGTCGGCGGCGGCGGAAGAAGAGCACCAGCTTCTTTATCGGGTCCCGATTTTCGACCCGCTCGAATTATGCAACTCCGACGACTCCTTCCACCACCACCACCACCATCAATCCACCGTTTCCGCTTCAAACGGCTCATCACCCGGCGGCGATAGCAGTAATCAAGAGAGCCTATTGCATATGCAGGGGCTGGTACTGCCGTCGGACATGGAGCTGGCGGAGTTCGCCGCCGACGTGGAGAGCCTCCTCGGGAACGGGCTGGAGAACGAGTCGTTCGGGATGGAGGAGCTGGGGATTCTCGACTGTAGTAACAAAGGCGATGAGGACGTCAGCAAAATGGTGAAGATGGAAATTACCGGCGAGTTACTCAACGAGAATCATAAGCAGTACCAGGACGGTGGTGGAGGAGGAGAATTAGTGGTGATGGAATGTGGAGGAGGAGGAGGAGATGACGACTCCGATGAGCCCCCGTTCCAGCTCAGCTTCGAGTACGGCGACGAGGAGGAGGCTGCCACGTGTCATGAGGATGAGAAGATGGTGGTGAGGCAGCTTACGGTAGCCGAAGAAGATGAAGTTGGAGACAACATGGAGATTGGTGGCAAGAAGAGGAACATACTGTTGAGGCTGAATTACGAAGCTGTGATGGCTGCTTGGGACACCACCACTCAAGGCGCCGCAGCATCCCCTTGGACCAACGGCACAAGGCCAGAGTTCGACGTCAATGAATGCTGGCCCGACTGTATGGTAAGTGTGAACTGAAGTGTCTAATGTCTCGTCGGTCATTACAAATGGCTATATGTTTATCAATGTTTTGGATCTGTGTCTAACTGAATTGATTATTATTGGTGGGATTTTCAGGGAGGTTGCGGGAGGGAGTATATGCATCATCATCATCAACACGACTTACTAGGGTACCAATTAGGAGAAGGGAGGAGTTTGGGTGCGGCAGCGGCGGCGGCGGCGGGGGACGGAGGGAGGGAGGCGAGGGTGTCGAGGTACAGGGAGAAGAGGAGGACGAGGTTGTTCTCGAAGAAAATAAGGTATGAGGTGCGGAAGCTGAACGCGGAGAAGAGACCGAGAATGAAGGGGAGGTTTGTGAAGAGGGCCAGTTTTGCGACGGCGAGTGCTACTGCTACTGCAGTGCCTAATTACACTTCTTTGGTACTTCACAAGAAGTGATCATCAATTTGACGACCTTACATTTTTTTTTTTTTGGTATCTTGTTGTTCGTTCTTGTTAATGTTTGTAGCTAGCTAGATTAGTTAGCTACGGTTCTAATTTCGCATTTGGGCCGATTGTTGCTACCTGCAACAGCGATGTAAGTTGAATTTTTGTACAGTAGTATCTAGTGATATGAGGTGGAGTTAAATTTGTACGGGTTTTTGACATGGGATTTGGTATGCGCGAATTCCCGGCTTCCCTCCAGTTAATAAAAGACTTATGAGCTTCTTTCTTGTATGGACGAAGTAATGTTTCATTATTGGCTTCTACTCTCTCCATTTTGTGTATAAGCAAGCTAAGTTCTCTCCATTCATATACGATGGTGAGGGAACGTAAAATAATCCTATGGCATTGTTAAAGTATCTTAGTTTTAGTAGCAATCTGTAATTAGCGAGTATAGTAAAACTTCTTGAAGAGCACAACCTCTTCCGAGTATTAGTCCTTGACTCCTTGTTGATGTGACAGAAAGCAATGACATGGATCAGACTTGAAAGTTGGTCAAATGTCCACAGGGAAGAGAGATTGTTACAAACAAGTGGATCTACAAAAAGAAGGAGGGAATCACTTCTGAAGAGGGCATGAAATTTAAAACTCGAGTAGTTGCAAGAGGCTTCTCGTAGAGGGGAGGAGTTGACTATAATGAGATTTTCTCACCTATGGTCAGATACACTTCAATCAGGATGTTGCTAGCGATAGTGGCATATTATGACTTGAAGCTCGAGCAGCTAGACGCGAAGACAACTTTCCTACATGGAGAGTTGGAGAAACAAATTTACATGACTCAACCAGAAGGATTCCAGGTTCATGGAAAAGAAGACTATGTTTGTAAGCTGAAGAAGTCCTTGTATGGACTTAAGTAATCTCTGAGCCTGTGGTACAAGAGGTTTAACCGCTACATGCTTGAGCTAGGCTACAACAGAAGTCCTTATGATGGTTGTGTATATCACAACAAGGCAGAGGATGGTTTGATGATATATTTGGTTCTGTATGGGGATGATATGCTCATAGCTGCGAGGTCGAAGTCTGATATCCAGAAGTTAAATGGAATTCTTAGTGCTGAGTTTGAGATGAAAGATTTGGGAGCTGCTTAGAAGATTTTGGGTATGGAGATTAACAGGGATAGGTCGAAAAAGAAGTTGTTCTTGTCACATAAGAGCTACATCCAGAAGATATTGTCGAGGTTTGGCATGTCTTCAACAAATCCCTTGAATACTCCTAGTGCTTCGAATGTTCATCTATCCTTAGTTTATGCGCCACAGTCAGAGGCTGAGAAGGAGTACATGTCGAGAGTCTCATATTCTAGTGCAGTTGGTAGTTTGATGTACGCTATGGTACTAGACCTGATTTTGCACATGTTGTTAGCAGGTTCATGATACAAACTGAGAAGGAGCATTGCCAGGTTGTGAATAGGATCTTCCGATACCTTAAGGGTACATATGATGTGGGGTTTAGCTTCGGAAGTGACAAGAGTGCTTAGTTGCTGGCTATTCAGATTCTGACTATGCTGGAGATGTTGACACGAGGAGATCGATGACCGGTTACGTATTCACTCTTAAGAGTTTTGTAGTGAGCTGGAAGGCAACTCTGCAGTCTGCAGTCGACAATGACATTGTATACTACTGAAGCAGAGTACATGTCGTTAACAGAAGCTGCTAAGGAGGGAATATGATTGCAGGGGTTGGTTGGTGATCTGGGTCTACATCATGATCAGACAGTGGTGTATTGTGACAGCTTGACTGCAATATGCTTGGCCAAGGATCAAGTCCACCATGACAGGACTAAACACATCGATGTGAGGTATAATTTCTTGAGGATGGAGAAGAGGATTAAGGTGAAGAAGGTTGGCACCGCAGATAATCCTGCTGACATGTTCAAGAAGCCAGTTCCACATGGCAAGTTCCAACACTGTATGGACTTGCTGAATGTATTGAGTGGGTGAATCCACCCTAAGGGGCATTGATGGCAGGAGGGAGAGAAGGATCAGAGTACATCAGAGATTTCAGAGGAAGAGGATTCAAGTTAAGGTGGAGAATTGTTGATGTGACTTGAATCAGACTATCAGCTGCTACAACTGGAAGTCACGGGGTCTCGCTGACCGAGCCCACGGTGGGGGTGCAGGGGTAACGCCCACGGTGTATGGGCTCAATGTTATTTGGGTTCGGGTTTTGGGTCTAGTTATAACTATTTTTCCTTTACGAGATTGGATTAGGGTTAGACATAGGAGAAGTACTATAAATACTTCTCATACTTCTCTGTAATCTGTATCTCCTCAAAATATAGTGAAACTGGCTCTCTCCTGCCCGTGGACTAGCTAACACACATTGTTTTAGTGAACCACGTAAATCGTGTGTCGTATGTGTGTGCTTTCGTTTTCTTGCATTGTCAAATCCTCCAATTTCCCGATCCGCAGAAAAACAATCGTGGCAGTCCTGTTCATCAGGGATACCACGTTAAATCTCGTATGTACTTTCTTAATTCTTTACAGGCATGTTTATTAAAGACCATGTCACTGGTATTTGGGAAGCGCAGCAGCCTGCTTGTTGCAAAATTAGAATGAGGTTTGGTCAGGTTGGCTCTTGCACTGGGGCTTCTCTTTAATAATGCAACTAACTTGTTGAAAAAGAAGCGTGAAGATAGAACTGAAGCTCTTTTCGTAGGCTTACCGGCCTGCCATTGACTTTTTTAGCCCAGTGAGTGTTAAAACTGTGCCCACATAATACTAAAACCGAACAAGATTGAACAATGCTCATAATGGGCAAAATTTGGCTGCTGGCTGTGTTGCAGCCCTCCGCTGCTACCAGTCATGTGGCACTATGTGATTGGTTTCATTTGGTTAATTAATTATTACTTTGATGCTGGTTAAAAAAGGACGGAACAGAAATTGAAAATTGGATGCTCTTTTTTTTACGGGACGCGGACGTAAGAGCTGGCCGACGTCAAATGATTTATTTTGCTTTATATTTTGTTTTATATATTTTTTTTGTTATCATGCTTCATATATATTGTTGTGATGATTTCGCTGAACAATAATAACAAAATCATCTCATATCAAAGGAAAGCCATCATGTTTGGGTCATATTAGTTTTAAATTCTAATTTCTATCTATCTAAACTTTTCTGTAGATAGATATTATAGTTGTGTTACTCTATATAATATTATAGTATTTCTCTTTTTTCAAAGATAGTGTAATAATAACAACATAAGATAGCATAAATCAAACTACGAAACCAAATACGATAGTCGACAAATAAAAATTAAATCTATGTTTAAAAGCGAAATCTAAAAAAGATAAAAGAAACGTAACGTAATCTTAAAGAGGTATGATGAAACTATTATAAAAAAGAGGCATGATGAAACTTTACAATTAAAATTGAGGACGTAGGCAAAAAACCTATAGGAAAAATACCTTTTTAATGGTGGCTTATACGGTATTTCAGGTCAAATTCAGGGTACTGCATACCTTGAGTATGAAAACACTATCTAGACCTCAAATTAGCAGAATTTTTGGGATTGATACTATGCCCTAAGTCCTAACCCTTAATGTGTGAACCCTAGGTCCTAATTATCTAAATCATAAACTATAAACCCTAAGATCGAGCATTCATTTTTTTGCCTATATTTGGATGAATCATAGCCGTCGATTATTGTTTCTAATAAAATTAATTTTGTGGTATAAGATTTAAGGAACTAAGACCTAGATTTTGATCTTTACGTATTAGAGTATAGTATCATCTTCAAAAGATTAATCAATTCAAAGTCTGGATAGCATTTTCATACTCAAAGTATGCGGTACCTCAGATTTCTCCCTGGATACTGTAGAACTCAACCCTTTTTTAATAATTTTTACACTTTAATTGATAAAAATTGATAACACAGATATAAATAAAACAAAACATAAAGCAAAGTAACTAATTTGGCGACGGCCAGCTCCTCCGTCCGCGTCCCGTTAAAAAAAAAACTCATCCAATCCCACTTTCGTTCCGTCCAAATCCAGCATTCAAGTAATAAATGATTAATCAATTTGAACCAATCAGACACTGCCACATGGCTGGGTAGCAGCGGAGGGCTGCAACCCAGCCAGCAGCCAAATTTTGCCCATAATGTTATACATAATTCAGTACTATGTATTGAAGGTTTGGATCAGAATAATTGTAAACATTAGTGTAAAGAACATATAAATGATCTTCATATAGCCAAATAGTGAATAGTTGGCTTGTAGCACTCAAGAGAGCATGAGAAGTGTTCACCTCCTAGTCTTGTTGAATGAGCTTCTTGAACTTTTGGGTCAGGTAAAAAGTGCGTCATTCAAATTCTTATGCGCATCGTTAAATCCAGTTTTAATATCTCTTTCTTTGAGAGACTATGACTACAAGTCACTCGTCAAGCCCATTCAAATTCTTCTAATAAAATGCAATCCATTGTGATGTTGGTGGGTATAGTGGCGTGTAGGGCTGCAAATGAGCCAAGCTGCTCGCGAGCAACTTGGCGTTCGAATCGGAAAAAACTCGTTCGACACTCGACTCGTTGTTTAACAAGCCAGCTCGCGAGCTGGCTCGTTAGTAAACGAGCCAAGTTTGAGCTAGGCCATGCTCGGCTTGATAAGCTCGTGAGCTAGCTTGACTCGGTGGCTTGTTGAGCTAAGCTCGTGAACTGGCTTGTTTAAAGCTTGTGGAAGGATTAATTACTCTTCTCAACATGAAAATTATCTTTTTAATAAGGATGTGTATGGAAGTTAGATGTTATTTTTAGTTTCTAGTGTTCTTTTTATTATTTTTAATTTCTAATGTTCTTATTTGTACACATTTTTCAGCAAGAATGGTTTCAAATCGAGCTTATCTTGAGCCGAGCTTGTACTCAGCTTGACAAGCTGTGTTAATGAGCATTTACCGAGCTCTATCGAGCCGAGCTCGATCTAGATTACTTTTAATCGAGTCGAGCTCGAGCTCGAGCTGGATAATCAAAATTCGAGTTCGAGCTCGAGCTAAAAAATTTATAAACGAGCCGAGCTCAAGCTAAGCAAAAACTCGACTCGGCTCGTTTGCAGCCCTAAATTGGCGTGGACAGGTCGCGCATATTTCCATGCCAACTCAACTCAGCCAAAAAGCCACCAAAGTTCACTTAAATTAACTATTTATTGAGCTACTGAGCTTAAGCCATCGAATCTCCAACTCCACCCACGTGGCCTCTATCCCATGTGATATACTCACTAATAGAACTATGAGCAGGATAGCTGGATTGAGTTTAACAACTAACAAGAAATAGATAATTGAAGAGGGAGAAATGTTAACAATATAAAATCAGCAATGCTCAGACCAATAGCAAATCAACAACCATTCCCTTTTGTTAATTTTATTTTTTGCTCATAAAATAGGAAAGTTATTTAACAGCACCAATGAAGCATCACATCATTTAAGAATCATATATGCTACAAAATTATCATTGTCATTTTGCTTTGCTCCCCCACAACGACCGACGCGGTCATAAATGTGATAAGAGGACCAAAAACGACATCGCAACTAATGTAGTTTCTATATTTATAGATCGATGCATGGCTTCAACTCGAATTGGATAATCAGATTTGGACCCTTAGTTTTAAGTGAAGTTAGATGTAACGAATGAGAAATTAATAATTTTTTATTTTACCTTTCTTAATTTTTTTAATCGGTATTTTATTCTTCGTTCTAACTTAGATTTCAATTTTTTACACAGAGGGAAAGTGTTCGTTATGATCTACAAAATTATATCTATTTTCAAAAATATTTTTGAGCAATAAAAAGTTCATACCACCCATGCCACTTGTTACCACCCTAGTACCACCTCATATCACTCGGTACCACCTTCGTTTCTAACTCGAATATTGAAAAATTTACTCGAACGGAATGAGTTCTTAGTGATCTATTATATCTACAAATTTTTGAGGAAAAAAATTCAGGACAAAAAGTACCACCCTGATGCAAGGGTGGTAACAGTGGTGAACCCAGAAATTTTACATAGCATAGGGGGTCATCTTTCAAAAAATAAATTAAATAAATATTAAATTACTAATAAAAATTAAATAAGTACCTTACTCATACGAAGTTAAAAAAAATTCACGATGTGTTTTTATATTCGAAAATAATTATAGAATACACTTGGTTTCTACACTGCTCAAAAAAATTGTCTCTGTATATCCTACTAGACAATCATTCACGAACTGATCGCATATTTGATTCTTAAACTTGTTATTGATGTAACCCAAATCTGAAAAGACTCTTTCAACACTTTTCATACAACCATGAAATCTATACAACTTAAGAGTAGTTTGAAATTAGTTTAATTGCAAGGTTTTGAAAAATAATTAGAGATAGAGAATGTTAATTTACTATTACACAGTGTTTAAAATCAAACAACAAATGAGTTGTAGCCTAATGAAAATTATGTTTATTAATATTAGTATTGTCCTAGGTTTGAATTACCCAAACTATCACTTATATTTCCATACACAAACAAAAAAATTAGAGTAGGATAATCATTTTTTCAAATTTCATGGGTGTCCCACACTCTCAATTATATATTTTTTTGTCCATGCGTAAATTACCATCGAGGGGTGGATAATCATTTTCCCAAAATTTAGGGGTGTCCCGGGACACCTCCAAACTCCCTTGGGTCCGCCAATGGGTGGTAATTAGGGGTATACGACTTTACGTTGATGAAATGTGGTAAATGACGGCTGATATATTTTTACTATCGTGTATGCAAACATTCAACACTGTAGTGTGTTCATACCACTATGATACAGTTCCATACCAAGTGGTATAATCTTATGTACTTACCAAGTAGTACCACATGGTATGGACTGGTAATAAAAGTGTCAAGTTTTTTTGTTCCAAAATATATCAGAGAGAATGTCATTTGAAAAACACAATTGATCTGATCTTTCTGTACATATTTTTTTTTAATTTCAACTAGAAGAAAATAAATATAGCCTATTAAAATTTATTGGAAGAAAAGTTAGTAGTTCTCTATAAATGATAAGTATAAGAGTATGTATAGTTATGCACCCTTAAATTATGTCAGGGAACCTCTACCATTAACTTTTAGAATAGTTTTCTCCATTATATCGATCTAATTTACTGTAAGCCCATTATCCATTATAGATGCCTTTTGAACACTCATTATAGATGCTTGTTGATATCACATTAATTGATATCAAGTTAGGAGTCATAATTTCTGATACATTTTGTCTCATGCCGTTTTTGAATGCGTATTATTGATTGGGTTGTAGTGTCTCGCATAATTCATGCAAAACAAGGTCAGTAAGAGAACTTTAGTACTTTGTTGATACTTTTATGTTCAAGTCATAATAATTTTCATGAACGATAAAACGTCTAACTCAACATATATAATCATATTTAGCAGACTTTCAATGCAATTTTCTACAATTGCATGGTCTCTAGACTTAAGATTGTATTATAACACAACAAGAACAAAGGAAAGCTTACTCCAAGACTTGAGATTGTAGTAGGTCGAATGTACTATCACCAACCCGTCTTTCGTCAACCGCGTTCATGGTTGAAGCATGGTTGATATCTACCCTATCATTTCGCAAGAAATCGATATCGAATTTTTGTAAATGGGTTATTATATGTGTTCGATAGCCCTATATTCTTACCCCAAAAATGAAAAGCTCAATCAGTTCACCTAAATGAACAACCTCAAAAAGTGAGGTTGAAAAGGACCAAACAAGCAAGTGGCCCAGGATCACATTTCAAATTTGGTGTTACTTCACAAATTGGTCTTGGATTATATGGGAACCCATATGGTCCACGGCCACATGACACACACAAAAAAGTCGTAATAATGAATTGCCTAAAACCAAAAGGGCATGTTCACTCATTCATGACCCCGACGTCTTGACGTGGCCTTCACTTATCTTTTGTGGTAACATGTAAGATCCAGTGCTCCACAATGGCGGAGCCAGAGCTAATAACAGCGATGGGAGTTCAGCAGAATGATGCAAAGCAAACAGAAGAAGAAGCCCCAAAGGTGATTGAACAGCCACATCAAGGTGAAACCAAACATCATCATGTTAATTGTAATCATCATGTATATAGAAGTTACAAGCTGCTATAGGACTAACAAGTATGTTAGTGTACAAGCAAAGTGAATAAACAAAATTTCAGCTCTTTATATCAAGATATGAGGAATGGGAAAACCCTATATAATCTATCAGCTTCAGTTCACAGGTGTATCAAGTATACAAAACGCAACCTGCGCTGAATGGATGCCTGAGGTTTATTAGAAGATATGTTTCGAGAGTAAAGCTCCCAAGCAAACTTACCAGATTGGAGGAGAAGGATGATTGATGACTCGATACCAAAATTGATGATTTTTACCACACGGTATCTGAATTTTATCTATTCAAAGGTTCTAACTGGACTTCCATTCTTCCAGACTCTTGCAAACCCGTTTTGGCAGCAGCCCTCGTTGGGTTCAGGAGATCAATGGAATCATCTTCTTCCACATGACCCAGCACCCAGTTACTTCTTCCCGCGTATAATCTGTCCCTCGTTCTCTTCCGGGCTCTATATTCAAGATACAATAGCATCAACCCTCCAATCAGGAACCAAGCTATCATTGCCCAAATATAACCACCAACGTTTTCCCCTCCATATCTATCTCCCAAATGTTGCATCCCTGTGAACACCGCAATGATCCCGAAGATGATGGCAGACCTTCCAACTATAGCATGGAAGTATTCCCACATAAGCCTTTTCCTGGTAACGTCTCCATTACCAGGTCTTTTGGGCCTCATTAAAGCATTCACCGGTTGGGCGCATGCCAAAGATATAGCAGTTAGCCCAACCTTAACGTGCAATGAACTCACATACAGGCCGTGAAGTTCAGCTACTGCAAAAAGAAAGCCGAGCAAGACAATGGCCAAGCCTGAGTACTGCAAGTAGACATGAATCCGGTACCAACCATCGCCCTTAACCTGCTTCAAGTATCTAGCTGCAAGAATACCACCAGGGAGTAAAATACCCCAAGCAAGGAACATCATGAATCCATGCACAGCCAACACCGGTCGAATATCTTGCTCTGCTTCTGTTGATCCACCCATGAGTAAAACACGCATGGGCCTTTGACTTGTTGCTGAATGCATGTTCTCCTCACTCAGATGCTCATCTGACCAACTAGCACCCAGTGCCCACACAACCTTAAGAGGACTAGTGGGATCGATAATGTTGTTGCACTCTACCTGGCCAACACAAGTGGGGTTCAAGGGCCTTGTGAACTCTAAGGTAATGACCCCGTTCTCAGATTTGCACCTAACATGAGTCAAATTCTCATTCGTAGCATGCACACTCGTCACTTCCTTTCCATCAATCCAATATGTTTTTACATGCCCTTTTCCTTCATCATCAACCCAGCCAACATAAGCAAAGCTGTTCACCATCCCATCACCAAACCCTATTGCAACATAACCACTTTTTTTCTCTCCTCGAGCTGCAATCGATATGCTTTCATCGGACATTGTCCAAAAGAAGGTTACTTGCTGATCATCTAGGAAAACACTGTTGTTGTACATATCAGATAGACCCCCATCAACAACCTGAACCCTCCATCCCATTTTCTGCTGATACAATGATTGATAGTATACTTGATCAGGTGTATTCCTATCTGGCGCCCAAACTAAGTCCATTGGATCAGCCGGAACACCCTCGGCTTCAGGCCCTCCTGCATAGATGGTTTCAGTGGTGTTTCTCAAAGTGGCATTCCCCCCAAGCAAGTCTGAAGTTATATACAATGCAACGTCATGTCCCGCTTCCATAGAGAAAGTTACAGGTACACCTCTCTCAACTCTTAAAACTGGAGCTTCCTTATTATTAATGTAAAATACCTTTGCTGGGTTGGGCGGATTAGGATAGTGTAGTGCAGGCCCAGAAGTAACAACAAGAGGCACATTTCCATCTGCAATTATCAAATCCTGATCCTCCTTGTCTGCAGCATCCAATGGCCCAACACAATCATTCACTTTCTCTGATACATTAAGCAGTAGATGCCCAAAAGTTACATCCTCTGGACCTCCATGATTCTGAGGCAGGTAATAAGGTCTAAACGAATCTGGCGGCCTCATCAGACCTATAGCCCAGATCACGATCATCTTTTGTGTATAATTCACGGGCAAATCATACTTCTTATCTATAGGAATCAAAGGCCTCCTGTACCTAACAAAGGACACACCATCCTTCCTGTGGCCATAGATGGTCTGGGTGTTGTTCACCAAACCGACTGGGTCTGATCCTGCGAATATGGTATCAGGGCAAACTCCATCAGCTGAACCATCCTCGTTTACAGTACATTCACCATACTTTGTAATGAAAAAATCATCAGCAAATGGCCATCCTTCCTCAGTGAACCCAGCCACAGCTACATCAGCACCAATCATTAATTCTGAATTGGACTTATGATTGGCCCATCCAAATGCCATATAATTCTGAATACCCATAGCTGATTCCAATCCTATGTCGATGAAATTCTTATTGGCACTCAGACTCCACCTTACTCGATAGTCTTTAGTCAGTACCTTGCAGTTATCAAACATTGTTGGCGTAGTGAAGATCCAATCTTTCTCTTTACCTTGACTAGAATTGTTCTCAGATGGCATTGTAGGGAATACAGGGTTTAATGTGGAGGCTAGAGCGGACTCATTCTTCAGAATAATGTGTCCAAAATCAGAGGCTGTGGGAATGTCCCACACCGAAAGGACTTGGATCTTCTCCCAAGTGATATTTTTGCTCAACTTAACAACAAAAGATGCATTTTTATATGTCTCATTAAGCTTCTGATTGGAGACCACAAAGCCCTTGGTGAGGTTGACAAAATCAGCAGCACTGGCTCCCCACCAGTGAACATCCAGGCCTGATAACATGTCGAATTCAGAAACCCTAAACGAGCAGTCGTCAACTATGGTCATCACTCCACGAAGCTGGTGCTGCACCATGGTGAATTGGGATTCAAACCCAATAAAGGAGCTAGTTTTGGGACAGGACTGACCCGAATCAGCAAGGCAACCTAGAAACAACAGACTGATCACAGACCTGCAGCAGAATGTTCTACGTGGTAAGAAAACAGCGAGAATGGGCAAACAAGTTATGATAATGCAGTTTGCAGTCTAAGACGTATTGAAGTGCTAATTAGTAATTACAGCACTACAGTATACAACTGCAGTGCATATATTATTAGTGATCAGGGAAAACCTACAGACAACCTTGTACATTCTTGCGTCCAGCATAGCAAATGACATGTGAGCTTCTTTTTACAAGAATAGGAAAAGGAGAAAAAGGTAATCCAACCTCATTAATAGTTGAACAAACAAAGCTCTTAGACTTCGACTTAAACAAATTGTTTTTATGGATCTTTCTCCCTCTTTCCTCGTATTAATGGGCTCTGAACTTTCCCCTGAAATATAAATAAAAGATCTGATCATATGATTAAAACCTCACCACCAATCATCTACGAATAAAGCTTCAGAATAAAAGGTTACCAAGATCACTATTTCTGCAACACTTTCTCCTAGTATGACTTCCTGATGAAGGTTCCGCATCATTCAACACAACTTCATCACTGTCATCCTCCCCATCGCCCATATCTTCTATACCAGCAAGCTCATTATCATCGACGGACCCCATCTGAGAACATTTCAAGCTCAACATTTATATCCCAACTCCAAGCAATATAAGCAGTTGCTGCTGTGCCATATCAACTAGGAGATATAAAACCATAGAAAACCTTTTGTAATGAAAAAGGAAAAGGGCAACAAGCAAATATAAGAACCATGTTGTTCTAACTGCTGTAAAGCAAGGATGATAAAACCCAAGAGCCTTCAGTACAGTGGCACTGTTGCACAGAATGCTCTCATACAAATGTGCCAATGCAAAATGTGAGAAACCGGAAGCTAGAGCATCATATCTCACTTTTCTGAAGCACTATATCATAATAAGTCCAACGTATGAAAATTGGGAAATCCTTTTAGTCTTATCTAAATCGAAGTTCAAGAATGACATTTGACAAACGATTACAATTTTACAGTCGTCTAGTCGAAGGTTTCCCCACATCAATAAGAAGGGTTGTTCACCAGCAATTTTAATCAACACAAGAAACCATCATTCATGGTTTCCCCGGTGTTCCCACTAGCAACGACAAAACCATTGTTTCTCTAGTGTAGAGCTTGTCCATCCTTTGAAGTGGAATGGTGGAACTGAGAAAGCCATTCAATGCTAGGATAAAAGCTAGCCCAGGAAATTCTGCCATAATAAAAAACTAAAGCTGCTCCTTTTTTCAAGCAATTCCATTCTGCATTGGGTTTTACTAGTGAAACAAATTTGTCAAAGGAGCATGAACAATAACCCACTGAACGAAGAGGCATAGCATTTAGAAAGCACCAAACTTTATACACCTAGAACCCAGGTTTTACACTAAGGATAGATATCAACCTTATGGGCAAAGAACATTGCAGATGGTTAAGGGAAACAATTCATCTGAAGCATGCAATTGATATAATAGGTCTAACCCATGAGACCAAGAAGAAATGGAAGCTAGAAAGCAACAACAGAAGCAACAATAACAATGTAGGGAAACAAACCGCAACAAGTGCCACGGGCAGCCGAGGTTTGGATCGATCTCCGGCGAGCTCAGCCAATCGGAGGTTCAAAGGGTAGACTCAGGAAGGAGAAGGAGAAGAGAGGAAGAGTATGTAATTGTTTTCTCCCGCTTGATCCTCTCGGTGGATTGACAGAGGAAGGAAAGAAACTAACTCGAAGAAAGGAGGGAGAATTAACCGAATTGGACGAGAGGATTGCCGGATCTGGGGGCATCGATTCAGATGAAAGTTTTGGTGCCTGGAACCCCCAAAACGCAATTTGCCCGAGATCGCTAGTAATTCCTCTTCCTTTTTCTCGTTTTTTGGTGAGACATCTAAAATTTCCCTTTCCTTTACTATTAATTTTGTTGTTGTTGCATTAAATACTAGTTAATACACTATTAACAGGTGTCCAAATAATATTGAGAATCCAGTTGTTAGAGATTTGGCTATCTGATCACTAAGATGGCTCAACCGATGTGGTAAAAAAAAAATAGAGATTAGGTGTGTGTAGGAGCTCAATATCCCAATCGTAGAAGGAACCATGCCTTAAATCTTAAATATTTTCCAATGAATTTTATTAAAAAGGTCAACAATTTGAGAAAGTTAGGTCTATTAGTCTGTACTCTCTCAAACTAATGTCTTTATTGTTTCATGTCTTCATGAGTAGCTAGTTCAATCTGTTTGTCTTGTTTGGGAACACTATCAGCCTATTTGGATAGACAAAAAACTCACGAATTGGAATTCCATTTTCAATTCCAGTTCCATATTTTATGTTTGGAAGGATAAGAAGGTTGAGAAATGAATTCCATTTGGGCTAAGTTTTGGAAATTACAATTCCTATCAAAAGTGATAGGAATTGTGTTTATGAAGATGGAATTAGTGGGTCCCATAACTATTTATTATTATTTTATTAACCAACCATCACCCTACTCTCTTTCTCTATCATTCATATTTCATTTTCCAAGATAAAATAAATATATTCTATTATTAATTATTGTTAAAAGTGCAATTCATTTCTTTAGTTGAAGGAATTATACCAAACACTAAAATTGCAAATGGAATTCTATAAAAATAGGAATTGGAAATAGAATTCCATTTCCATTTCTTCTTGCATTGTATCCAAACAGGCTGTATAGGTTTTAAAGATTCTTATGGTGTTTTAATGATAATATAGTGTGATTGGGTTGTTTTCTATTCTTATTGTTTATTGGCATGTTGTGGTGGAGCCAGGACTCAAAATGAGTGGCGGATGATTTGAATCATGATAATTGAGTATGGGGATAAAACCTTACTAACCAGTCTATTTCCAAAGTTTGCCACCAAATTTACATGTAATTTTATTTATTTTGATAGTTGGGGGGGCTTAGCCCCTCTTGGCTTCAACCTAACTCTTTCACTATTGGTATATTTTCTTAGTTGTACTTCATATGAGTTTGATTGAAAATGGTTTTCATATATTGGCATATGACCAATGCCAATACATGTCTAGTATATCGATTGTGTAGGATAATCGTGACAAAAATCTATGGTATAACTCGCATGTTATCTCTAGAACACTTAACTCTTCTATTACAGTGACAACAAGTGCATATGATTGGAATAATGATTGATAGAGCGAGATAGTAAGAACTCTTTTGCCCGTGCTGAGAACAATCTGAAAAATCTAGGGGGAACTTTGCCTATACAATGTCTTTATGTTGCTCATTTACTCGTTTTTATTACTCTACTTTACTTTTCCTTTCGATTCCTGCTTTACTTTACTTTACTTTTCCAAAGCTCTTACAAACGAGAGAAACCTCAACCTCAAACCAAGATTTCTAAATGAACGAGATCCTCACTATGTGAGTAGCATGCTCTGAAAGGCAATGTGGGAATACGATTGTGATTACATGACAGATGAATTTGATCCCTATTTATAGTGGATTACCCAGCAGGTACTTTCGATCATCATGTTGTTTAAGACAAGGCGACCCACAATCACATTTGATGTTCGGTATGAAAGACTTCTCGGCTTCAACGAAAAGACATTGTAAGGACTATCACATTTATTCTTTGGGAATGACTTGTTGTGGAAATTGTTCACGATGCTATATCTTGCTAAACAAGTAACATGTAAGATCACAAAAAATATGCAAACACATGCAAACGTCCTAGCCGACATAATTCAATGTCTCTCATTATGGAATCTTATTCCCTTCTAGTGCCCAAGGTTACTGAATGATTCCTCCCATGATAGAAAGAACATACCTTTTCGGCGTAGCGGTACCTCAAACCCCGGAAACCATCGAACGCAGCAAAACGGCGAGAATCACACTTGACTCTATTTTTTTCTTTCGTAAACAATGCACAGAAATCACTTTTAATTTTGGCAGAGTTTCGGTACCAGGAAAAATCGTATCAAAACCAGAGGATATTTATAGAGAATGAAGGGGTGTACAAAGGGAGACAACTCTTCATATTGGTGGTTACACCCCAACCATTGCAATGGTTCGTTTGAAATTTCCCAATCATTGCCTTGGTTCAGTCAATGGTAATTGGACCTATTTGGTTATTCCAATCGCCATATCGGTTTGATTTGATCCGGTTGGTACTCAAACCAATTTAACCGATTACCAACTTATTTCATTGATATTCGGCTTTAATATATCGGATTCTTGGACTTTATTTGATTATTCGTGGTATGTTTTAGCCAATTGGTGCTATTTAAGGGCTCGCTAACCCGAGAATGGTTGAAAAACCATTATTGCCTAGTGCTATGAGTTTGATGTATTACAGGTGGAGAAAACACGAAAAAGAAGTTGCACAGGCAAACCGCTAATGTGGGGGGAGGACTAATCTGAAAGTTTTGGGGGGGGGGGGCACTTTATTTTTTGAGACAACAACTCTTTGGGACGAAGGCAGCAGCGAGCGCAGCAGGGGTGATTATCAATTAGCGATCACTTTTCCAAGGCTACTTGAGCTGAGTTCAACGAGAGCGATTAGTTGGTTGGATTTTCTAAACCGAATTAGTTGTTTCTTGTTGATTTAGAACATGATGAACAAAACCCTAATGTTTTATCTCAATTTCATCATGAATTAAACCCCTTTTCTGGGGGAAACACCATAGGATGTAACTATTTCTTGATTTGATGGATTGATTTATGATTCTTTTCTTCCAATCTCTATTGCATGAAATTTCTTAGGGGTCGTTTGGATGAGGGAATGTGTAAACGTGGGATTTGGATTAAAATCTCTCGATTAAAAACCTAGATATTTTAAACGCAGGATTTGAACGAAATAACTTGTTTGGGAATGGATGAAGAATTTTAATTAAAAATTTAAAATTACAATTGTACCCATATATTTCTACACATCTGCGTTTGATTCTTCTTCTTCCCTTTCCTCTGTGGCGTGCGTCCGACTATCTTGAACCAGAAAACAATAGCCATCGATCGGATCTAGAGGGAGGCTGGTGCTAGAGTTTATCGGAGTTGGGTTCCTCCGCATCAGCAGTGTTGCTAGCTCCTTCTACACCAGTGCCTTGTTGCTGCCAATTCAAAATTTGATTCGTTTGGTATGGTTCTGGGCAGTGGGCAGCTTTAACTCTCAATCCCTACTGGAAATTGCTCCGCCAGTGCCTTCCAAACAGAGCCATTGTTTTGGGTGGGAGAAGGGACGCAGCTGGACTTTGTGTCAGCGGCTGCAAGTCTCCACCGCAACTCGCGACGGCTGCTTCATCCATGAAGGTCCGGTGGTTGGTAGAATCGAGATAGCGGGACACCAGCATTTGCGGTTGCGGAGGGTTGGGATCTAATCTGGCGCCGTCGATGTTGGACATAAAGGAAGATAGACGGAAGTTTGAGGAAGAGTGACGAAAAGATTGGAGGATGGGAGGGATGAAGGAAGAACGAAGGAATAAATCAGGGGCACAATTTGGAAAATAGTGGGAAAAAACAAGTGATTGTGAAATAGCTGATGTACATCAGCTATTTTAAAAACTCTCATTTGAGAGATTTCGAATTCTCTAATATCCACAATCTCTCTTCTTTCCAAACGCATGATTGTTTTAAAATCCTGCACAATGAGAGATTGTTTTAAAATCCCTCATAAATCCCTTATCACAATCCTCCATCCAAACGACCCCTTAATGCTTTGTGTTGACTAGCCACCAATACAATGAATCGTAGTTGATTAGGTTATTAGCAACAGTGAAACCCTATTAACTGAACATATTTCATGTGACATAGTAACTTATCGAAGCGACAGTGGATTAAATAAGGTGCTATGCGGTCTTAAATAGGATATCGATCTTCAGACTATATAGTTAATTCATTGAGCTACGACAGTAGGATTTGAATTGATTATTTAGTACGTAGTAATTCCCGACAGGGATAGCTAGCACATTCGTGATATCCTGGCTGTAGAGGTATGGATTAAATTGATTGGAATATGTGAATTAATCTGGATAGGATCGGTAGTGAATCCCGGTGTTTCTCCTAGAGCTTTCTCCCATTGAATTAAACCCGACATTTTAATTTGCTTGTTTTGTTTAATTACTTTGCTAGTAGATCATAGTTTCATCTCATTAAACATTTTCACATATAGTTTGCTCAATAAAAATTGATAGAACTTAAGGTTGTACCAGTCCCTGAGAGACGATACCCGGACTTTCCGGTTTACTACGAGATAGGAAATTGGCATATACGCTTTTGCCCTATCAAGTTTTTGGCGCCGTTGCCGGGGACTGCCATATCTTATTTTTATTGATTTTTGTGAGTGAACTATTTTGATATGGGTGTTAGTGTGCAGGTGAATTTTTCAGGTTAATCCTCCTCGTGCATGCCAAGGAGGACGACTGGCAATTTACTGCCACTAGATCCCGAGATCGAGAGGACCTGCCGACAGAACAGGAAGCAGGTCAAGTTAGGGAAGCAGCCTACCACATCCACAACTCCTAGGCCTTCCCTAACTCAGAATCGTCAACCGAGAAGGCAAGTGTCACCACCTGTCATCCCTACACCACCGACACCGCCGCCGCGCATCATCGAGCCTGTCATCATGGCAGAACAGGATTGGTCGATCAGGGCTCGTCTGAATCGGAGGACTGGAGCCCGAGCTTCATGTGTTGTCATTCCGGCTGGGGATGCAAACATGGAGATTGCCCCAGCCTTCATCAATATGATCACTAATGGGTACACCTTCTCAGGGGCCAGCACCGAGGATCCTCATGAACATCTTCGCCGGTTTGCAAGCATTTGTGACACAATGAAGAGCCCGGCTGTGTCTGATGATGCCATCAGTCTTCGGATGTTCTCATTTTCTCTGCTTGGGAATGCATCACACTGGTTCCAGAACTTGACACCCCGTTCCATCACAACATGGGGTCAGCTTGAGAAGACCTTTTTGGATAAGTACTTTCCTCCTGCCAAGGCAATGAAGAGGCAAGAGGAAATTGTCACTTTTAAACAAGCTGAGGATGAAAGTCTGACCGAGGCATGGGAGCGCTATAAGGAGCTTCTAATGAGATTCCCGAGCCACTGTCTTGAAGATTGGAACATGATATTCATTTTCTTCAACGGAATCAGAAGACAATACCGAGATGCTCTGAATAATGCTTCCCAAAATGGTTTCACAAGAATGGAAGCACCAGAAGCATATGAACTGGTGGAGAAGATATGCTCTGAAGATACTGAATGGGGTAGTGAGACCGGCATTCGAAGGAGAGGAGGCTTGCATGAGATAGACAGAGTTGCAAGTTTAGAAGCCAAGATTGATGCTAAGCTGGATTCCAAGTTCGATGCACTCGAACGAAGGCTGGCTAAGTTGGCTCTTGGTAGACAAGAGGAGGTTGCTTATTGTGAATTATGTGAAGGTGCTCATCATAGGGATCTATGTCCACTGGTGGCTGATCAGATGGAAGATGTGCACTATATCAACAATCAGAGAAATCAAGGCCAGGGTGGTATGTATTCGAATACCTACAACCCACAATGGAGGAAGCATCCTAACTTTTCTTGGGAGAACAACAACCCAACTGGTGCTCGCAACATTCCACCTCCAAGCCTGCAAAAACAACAACCTCCACCTCAACCAGAGAAGAAACCACAACTTGAAGAACTGCTTCTGGCTCACATGCAGAAAACCAACAATAATCTGAAGGGCCTGGATCAATTTGTCATCAACAGCTAGCCATCAACAATAATTTACAATCGTCTATGCTAGCTATGGAGAGGCAGATGGGACAGATGGCTCAAACCTTGGCGGATATGCAGGGCAGGAATCCTGGGACATTACCGGCTAATACCGAGAGGAATACAAAAGATGCTAAAGTTGTGGCAGTGACATTGAGGAGTGGTAAGGCCTTGGAAGACCCTAGCAGCTCGAAAAAGGCACCAGAGGCAGAAGAGGAAGCACCGGGAGAAAGATCTTGTGCAGAAAATGAAGAATCAGCCTTGCACAGGCAAAATGAAAGCGGTTTGCCTGTGCAAAAGCATGCTGCCCGTGCAAAACCAGAAGAGGAAAAAGTAAAGAGGGAGGAGCTAAAACCTTATGACCCACCCGCACCATTCCCTCAAAGGTTGATGAAGCCCCTGGAGGACCCGAACTTCAAAAAATTTGTGAATCTCTTCAAGCAATTGCACATCAACATTCCGCTAGCTGAAGCTCTTGAGAAAATGCCCACATATGCCAAATTTCTTAAGGAATTGTTGACAAAGAAGAGAAAATGGACTGATTTGGAGAAAGTAACACTCACACCAGAGTGTAGTGCTGTAATCCAAAATAAATTGCCAGAGAAGAGGGAAGATCCAGGGAGCTTCACCATCACATGTATTGTTGGTGAGACAGAGTTTACAAAGTCGCTTTGTGATCTTGGAGCCGGCATAAACCTCATGCCATATTCTGTGTATAAGAAGCTGGGACTCCAAGATGTGATCAAGCCGACTCGAATTACTCTACAGCTGGCTGATCGGTCAGTAAAGGTCCCCAAAGGCGTGATGGAGAACGTGCTAGTGAAGGTGGGAAAGTTCATCTTCCCCGCCGACTTTGTCATTCTGGAGATGGAGGAGGACAGGGAAGTACCTCTCATTCTTGGGAGACCCTTCCTAGCTACGGGGGGTGCTCTCATAGATGTCCAAAAGGGCGAGCTGACATTCAGAGTCTGTGGGGAAGAGGTAAAATTCAATGTATACCATGCAAGTAAGTACCCTAATGACTCTAGTGATGTGTTTGCGGTGGATGTCATAGAATCATGCACTGATGCTATTTTGAACAATGATTATGATGCTGATTCTGAGTTTGATGATTCTGATAATGAACTTGATGAGCTAACCGTGTCAAAGAGGGCACAAATGCTCGAGGCATTGCCTATGCAGGTGGAAGGTGATGAAAAGGCTAAGTTTCCAGAGAAAATGGTTCCATCTCGGATCCAGCCTCCGGAATTGGAACTAAAACCATTGCCTAGTCACCTTAAGTATGCATATCTGGGGGAAAAGTCCACTTTACTCTGTTATTGTTTCTGCTACACTGACTGATTCGCAGGAATAGGAGCTATTGAAGGTCTTACGCCAGCACATACAGGCTTTAGGTTGGACTATTGCCGACATCAAAGGCATTAGTCCAGCATTTTGTATGCATAAGATCCTTCTAGAGGAGGAGTCCAAGCCCTCCGTCCAGGCACAACGGAGACTAAACCCGCACATGAAAGAAGTAATGCATAAGGAGGTAATGAAGCTATTGGATGCAGGTCTTATTTACCCTATCTCTGATAGTACTTGGGTTAGTCCCGTGCATGTTGTCCCTAAAAAGGGAGGAATGACAGTAGTGAGAAACGATAAGGATGAGATGATATCTACCCGAACTGTTACGGGCTGGAGAGTGTGTATAGATTATAGGAAGTTGAATGAGGCGACCCGAAAGGATCACTTCCCTCTTCCTTTTATTGATCAAATGCTCGAACGGTTGGCGGGTCATTCTCACTACTGCTTCCTAGATGGTTACTCCGGTTATTTTCAAATCCCAGTAGCACCGGAGGATCAAGAGAAAACTGCTTTTACATGTCCTTTTGGTGTTTTTGCATATCGTAGAATGCCTTTTGGATTATGTAATGCACCAGCAACCTTTCAGCGGTGCATGACTGCCATATTCTCTGACATGTTAGAATCGAGTCTTGAAGTTTTCATGGATGACTTCTCGACTTTTGGTACTAGCTTTGAACATTGCTTGGCTAACTTGTCTAGAGTTTTGCAGAGATGTGAAGAGACAAATCTAGTCTTGAACTGGGAAAAATGTCACTTCATGGTGACAGAAGGTATAGTGCTTGGTCATCGAATTTCGGCGAGGGGGATAGAAGTTGATAAAGCTAAGATTGAAATCATTGTAAAACTTCCCCCTGCCAGCACAATAAAAGGAATTAGAAGTTTTTTAGGTCATGCCGGTTTTTACCGGAGATTTATTAAAGACTTCTCAAAGATCACCAAGCCTTCATGTGATTTGTTGGCCAAAGATACTGTGTTTAACTTCTCTGATGAGTGCTTGCAGGCCTTCAATCGACTTAAGAAGGAGTTAACCTCTGCTCCCATTATCACTGCACTCGACTGGACTTTACCATTTGAAATTATGTGCGATGCTAGCGACTATGCAGTCGGGGCGGTTTTGGGGCAGAGGAAGGAAGGTAAGTTGCATGCGGTGTACTATGCAAGTAAGCTTCTTAATGATGCACAATTGAACTATTCCACTACTGAAAAAGAACTGCTTGCTGTGGTGTTTGCTTTTGATAAATTTCGAACTTATTTGATGGAATCGAAGACAGTTGTGTACACTGACCATGCAGCTATAAGG